TCTGTGGATTACAAGAGGCTGCATGCTCAGAAATACCCCTTGTATGGATTCACAGTCATTTGGCTGCCCCGGGGGCTCAAGCAGCCTCACAGTCCCACAGCAAATATGCGAGGAGCACGAGGTCCGGGCCATATAAGGGTGATTTCTGCAAACGAGGGCAGTTGCTTCACAGCAAACGATTAGGTATTTTCTGGGTTGGGTGGCACTTAAAATGTGCTTCTTTCTGAAAGCAGAGCTGCTCGTCCTTATGTGACTACACATTTACAATTTAAATGCACCACATGGATATGCTAATGAGCATGTGTCATTATATAAATGCTCCCTCACAGGGAGATGAGGCCTAGCGGCCCCTTGGCAGCCCTCCAGCGGCAACAGGGCTGTGCGGCGTATGCCAGGCACCTGCGGCCCTGACTGGCCGTGCAGAGACGCCGAGGGCCCACGCACAGGCGCCGTCCGGCTCAGCGTGCTTTGGGGAAGCCGGACCCCCGGCCGACTCGGATGCAGGAGGCGCTGGGGGGCAGGTGGCACGGAGCGTGCTGCTCAGCCTCCGGAGCCCCTCTTGTCCGCCCCTGCCTTTTGGGTGTGCGATGTGGGCACCTCGAGCCCAGTGCCTGGTTTCCCCCAGGAAGGAGCGGGCGAGAGTTTGCTTCCTCCGTGGAAAGAGGCAGTGCCCTTGCACCCTGTGCTGTCCCTGGCACAGGGCGGGGGAGCCGTGTCAGTCGCCCGCTGCGCCATCCTGGGAGCTGGACACAAAGGCTGCGGTTGTGAGTGGGCATGAGTCAGTCGACAGCCACCGTGTGCACCGGGTGTGTGATTCATTGTGGAGACAAAGGCTGCCCTGGCTGCTAAGCCACTGCAGTTGGAGGCAGAGAATCGCCTTATTGTCCCGGGGTGAAGCGTGTGGATGTTTCTATGCACTCTGCTGGGGGGGGGGGGGCGCTGACCGTTTTACTGGCCCTGGAGCACTCTGGTTTGAACTCCCGCAGCTCCCAGCTGCCCGGAGCACCCCTGCATCCACCCCGTATCTGTAAACAAGCAGCAGACATATTCCAGAGAGCCCCGGGCTCACGGTTGGCAGCATTTGATCGATGCATGCTCCTGTGGGGTCAGAAAGCTGAAATGTTTGCTAGCCTGCCTCAAAGGGGCGCAACTCTGCCATGGGAGCTGGGGATGATGGGAACTGTAGCCCAACCAGGCCAGGGAAGAGTTAGGGCAAGAGCCATTTCCTTCTTGCCATGAGCAGCAGTTTCAGCTTAACGATCTGCACAGGATTGCATCCCTGGGCGGGGGGGGGGGGGGGGTTGACCCTGTGATCCTGACCCCTCCCCCACTATAGGGAATGGCTCTTTTTATAAGAAAAATGAGGCCGACACAGTAAATGCACTTGTCCATTTAATGCATCAGAGTGTTTGCTCCAGAATCTGGAATCTGGCTGGTCTGTGGGCTCTCGGAAGAGCAGAGGGCTCTTTCTGGCAGGAATGGAGAGCCAAGCGGCCCTGCCGTGCCTGCCTCTCAGGCTGAGACACGAGGCCGGACGAGGCCTGAGGAAGCAGTGCTGCAGCCCCCAGGCAGCCCCTAGTCCCTTGACCAGCCGCTGCAGAAGCCAGAAGCGAGTGTCCTTCTGCTCTGCAGTCCCAGGACCTTATATGAGAAGCAACCCATGTGTACAAAAACGAGGGACACTGCATCAAGGATCAGCTGTCTGGGCAGCAATTTGTCGGGGATGCAGAACGGCACAGGGCTGGACCAGATGACCTTCAGGGCTCCTTCCTACTCTTATGATTCTAGCCCCACGTGGCTCCTGCATGTCTGCATGTTTTAATGCGTTTAAGAATGTTTCATGTTTCATATTCTATTACTTTGATGCTTCTATTGTACGTGACTTAATTTTTTACCTATGGCTATTTTATTCTTAATTTTGGGCTTTGTGACTGCAAAGTGCTTTAAGAGCAGAGAGCTTAGGCCTCCTCTCTGTCTAAACAGAATTGAGCTGCCAGGTTATTTTCGGGGACCGGCAGATACTCCCACATCATGCCAGTCCTATGCCATCTATACTGGCTGCCAATTGAAGTCTGGGCCCAATTTAAGGTGCTGGTAATGACCTATAAGGCCCTAAATGGCCTGCATCCTGGATACGTACCTAAAGGAGCATCTTCTTCCCTATGTGCCGGCCCACCCCTTGAGCTCTGAGGCAGAGGTCCTTCTCCGGGAGCCCTCTTTGAAGGAAATTAGGGGGGTAGCTACCCGGAGAAGGGCCTTTTCAGTGGTGGCACCCTGACTTTGGAACATGCTCCCCAGGGAGGTTTGCCTGGCGCCGTCACTTTATTCTTTTCAGCATCAGGCAAAACCCTTTTTATTTTCCTGACATTTTAATATTTAATTGGTTTTATCTTTGATTTTATCACTAATGGTCAGAGATAGTGTTGTTTGCTGGTATGTTGTGGTTGCTTTTTGTAAGCCGTCCAGAGACTGTGGTATTGGATGGCATAGAAAACCTTTAAATAAATAAAGTAAACATGCACCATCAGGCTCTCGGGTCTCTTCACATCTCGTACCTAAGAACAAACCTTTGTACCTGTTGCTGTTGAACGCCCTCCACTGTCCGCAGCAGCCTGGGGTTCCCCCGGTAAGACCCTTCAGGGGCACAGAGCTGGAATGCACGACCTCCAAGGGCTCCTTCAACATGCTGCACGTTTGCACGTCGTGTAACCTGGCAAAAGCCTCGGCGGATTGGCTCTTGTGTGAACCACCAGGGGGAGTCCTGGCGGATGAGTGGGTTGCAGTGGGTTGTCCTCTTTCTCTCTGCCTCCCTCGGCTTCCTGCAGGCACCCTAGGGGTTATCTTGGCCAAGTCTTTCCTCCCCCCGCCCCCCGCCCCGGTCCGTGGGCCATCTGGGGTTTGCCACGGTCACTTCACCTAGCACAACATCAGGGAGGAAGGGAAGTGTCAGCCGCTGCAGGAGCCACTTGGGCACCGAGGGGTCAGCTGGGGGCCGGAGCTTGTTTGGGTGGCCCATGTCAGGGGCGGCAAGGGCGTTCTGCCCCCCTGGCCTTGGGGATTCCCGATTCCTTGTACCCACCATTGACACAGCTACCCATCATGGGCAGAACAACCCACTCAATAAGCCGTGGGCTGTTCTGCCCATGCACAAGCCACCTTGGGAGGTTCATGCAACATGAAAGCCCAAGAACGCACTGCCCACATTGTTGTGGAAACGGGTTTACTGCCAGGCTTCCGACCTGCCTAAAGCCCATTCCTTTCATGCTAGGTATGTGTGGCAAATGTATTTTTATTTTAGAATTACTGGGGTCAGTGAGGAGCAGCACTCAGTACATGCTCAGAGGCTCCCCTCCCCAGCCATGTCAACAGGTATAAGCTATAGTCTGACTTTTCACCCACAGTTTGGCTTTCTGCCATGAATTGCAAGACACAAAGCCATTATAAAGGTAGAGAAGTCTGAAAAAGACTGTCCCAAGACTTTGTAGTCGGACAGGATATAAAAGCTTTAAATAAATAAATTTTTTAAAAGGTACCAAAAGAGGATTGGATGAGTTCCAACCTATTTCTTGACTCCTACTTCACATATTGGGAGGGGGATGGAAGCAAGGTGCCAGACCGAGCCCTGGCTAGATTTAAGGCACGGTGATCGCTGACAAGTAGCTGCCCAGCTGCCCATCTTCTCGCACAGTCTCTCTCTCTCTCTCTCTCTCTCTCTCTCTCTCTCTCTCTCGCTCTCGCTCTCGCTCTCTCTCTCTCTCAATCACACACACACACACACACACACACACACACACACAGAGAGAGAGAGAGAGAGAGAGAGAGAGAGAGAGAGAGAGAGCAGTCAGTGCTGATCCCACAGCGCCCTCTAGCGCCAGAGTCAGTGCATCGTGCCCAGTACTAACCTTGGCGTTAGTACACATTAATCTTGCTTTCGCCAAAGCCGGCTTGGCCACAGCCCCACCACTTCTGCCCTAGAGGCATGGAAGCCCGTGCCCTCAGAGGCAGCGGCCGGGCAACGGCTGAAGCAGGCCGCAGCGGGACAGCCTCCCACCACTCCGCCTTGCCCTGCGCATTTTATCTCGATGGCCGTTTTCAGCTGCCTAGAACAAGTGCCCGCGAGTGCCTGGAGAAGGAAGCTGGCCGCCGAGAGTAATCAGCCCCAGCCCTGGCATAGACATGCTTCCATCCTCAGAGAGACGGGGCAGGGGTTTGGCAGCCTGGAATCCTGTGGCCCCCAGAACAGTTTTAGGAGGCTGTAGAATTGTGCCCTTCCTAAAGCTGCCAGGAAGGAAGATGAAGGAAGGAAGGAAGGAAGGAAGGAAGGAAGGAAGGAAGGAAGGGCAGAAGGAACGAAGGGGTCAGGCTTAATGCAGCAAATTAAATGTCTTGTGGCTCCCACCATTTTTCCCTACTGAAAATTGGCCTGTTTCTATTTGCAAATTCCCAAATTCAACAAACTCCTTCAGTTATGTTTAAAGAGACTCCAAGGCACTGCATTTGAGTGGCAGGAAGGCCATAGGGAACAGGCTTAGAAAACACGTCCTATTATGCTGGCCAGGGAAAAGCCTGGGAGTTGCAGGACGTTTCCTGCCTCAACAGGTCTCAGAGATTCTGTCTGCAATAAGCATCACCTTAGGGGCCGTTCGCAGTGCGGGAGAAGTGGGATCTGGGCAGGAGGTTGGTGCAGTGCCACAACCTGGATTAGGAAAATGATGCCAGATCAGGACGCACAGAGATGTTTCTTCTGATGGATTCGGCAGCATTAAGAACACTTTGTGAAAAGCTTCCATGGATGGAACGTATGGTTTGGTCCTCGTACTCCACAAGGCCCTGCTTTTCCTGGCATCATGCGGAAGGACTCCTACCAGCATTGACTCTGAGCTTCCCCCTCCCTTCTTGCAGCTGCAAAGCTCAGCCGACCTGGGATGCACCGCCAGGCAATCTCTTTATTAGTCAGCCCTCCACGGCCCCATGCCTGCGATGTCCATGATGCTGCATTTTTAGACCATGGTGGTTCCTGGCTTCCTCCGACAGGACTGGATGATGCTGAGGAACATCAGGAAGACGAGGAAAATAGACAGCCCCACGACCAGGGCTTCGATGACCAAGTAGGTGTGGGACAGCTCCCCGGAAAGCGCCATGGAACCAGGCGAGGCCACCAGAAACTTGCCCGCCAGGTGCCCACTGACATAGCAATTGTAGAATTCACTGTGCAGGTCATTCTGGAAGGAGAGGTGCAGGATCCCACCCCCGGTGGCTTTGTCCAGGCTCTGGGAGCTGTTCTTCTGGAGGAGTCCGAGGCGTGTCAGTGAGGTGGGGCCTTCCTGCCAGTAAACAGGGCTGAACGAGGAAAGAACGACATTTAGCACATGCTGGGTGGGATCCAGGCAGGCAGACACCTCCGAAATTTTTGCAGACAGAAAAAAGGCTCTTAGCCAAATAAAGGACGCTCAGTTAACCAATTGCATGAGCTTGAGCTGCTTAAATTATTTTTTTGTGGAACAGACGCTTTGGGCAAGACATGCTCAGGCTTTCCCTTGTCCGATACTGCCAGCCTCCACGGCCACCTCCTCCTCCCTTGCCAATGTTATTTGCCTTCTTCTTTCTCTGGGCCCAGTCAGAATTACTTCCCCAGAAGGGAGAGGATGAGCCCTTCTATCTCTTCTCACTGCCCCCGAAAGAGGGAGAAAAGAAGAGACAGGTATGGCAAGGAGGAGAAATATGGCCGGCCAGCGGGCTCCAAGGCCTGGAAGTGCGCCCTCCACTGGGGCTTGGGGCTGCCTAGGCCCCCGGGAAGACCAATCCCTGATGCTGGACTTGCTGGATTCTGTCCTATCCATGCTGGATGTACATGGATAGATTTGTAAACATTCCCCTCAAATGTCATTCAGCTACATCTCTACACAGCTTTTCATCTAAAAACACCTTGCTGAAAATGGTCAAACTGAACGGTGCTTGGAGGTGAAAGTTTCCTGTAACCCGTCAATCATTAACCAGTTCAAGTTTATTGAGAGCTTACGAAATGCCCGAAAGAAAGTGTTGTGGAAATGCATAGGCGGATTGTTTCTTCATTCCTACAGCAAGCTCCTTATGACACCAACGTTACTTAGAATTCTGTGTCACTCACACCCAGTTAGAAAATCCAGAAATTTGGGTGATCACACAGAGGCTACAGTGTTAACCTATTTTAGATTTTATCTGCAAATGCCCCTAAGAGCTAAAAGCATGTTTATCCCCTGCTTGCCCAGTCTTATGTTCAGAATATAGCATGTACAGAAGCCTGAAAAGTATGTGTGGGGAATATTTAAGAAACATGTTTCTAGCCCCTATGGACACTTGCAGATAAAACCATTGCTGTTTGGAGGACTGAGTGACAGGGGTATTGGTCCAGAGATAGAAACGGGACTCCTGTGCTGCAAGGAATTCTTGGTCCACGGCTCAGCCTCATCACCATAACACACGGTAGCTCCCTTCCTGAACCTTTAACAGTCGTGTAGAAGAGGGAATTTCCACGGCCCCATCTTGTCCTGGAGCGGTGAGAAAAGCCACACCAGCTCAATGGCCTGCCCTGTGCAACTGCTGAATGCACCAGAACCCTGTCCTTCTCTCCACTGACACCTCATTTCCTTCTCCATTCCCAGGGAGGGAGCAGGACGTAGCCTGAGCTCTGTACCTGTAAATGGAAGAGGCTGGGCAGTGTAGGTGGGCCTTGAGCTGGGGATGGTAGGTAGCGAAGACAAGAGGTAGCTCCACGTTGGGCTTGTCCTGGCCCAGTAAGAACGATGCAGCGCAGGGCACCTGGCAGGTTTCCACTCTCAGCTCTGGTCCCCGCCATGGCAACGTGGGATGCTTCCTTCTGGCCATTCCACAAGGAAGAGGCTTTTTCAGCTGATGGTCCTTCCCAGTCACCTGGACGTAGCAGTATCCCACCTGCTTCCTTTCTCCAGGCTGGCTGCAGCGATCACAAGCCTGCCAAGGACTCCACGAAGTAAAAAGTGTGGCCACGTCCCCACTTGCTAACTTGACCGTGGTGTTGTCCAGGGTGGCCTCCCCCAGCTTAGCGTGTGAGACGTGGATGTACCCCGCATCCTGGAAATCCACGTGGTAGTAGGCGATGGTGGCATCCCCTGCGCTGCAGGTGTACAACCCAGAGTCCTCCACGCTGGGGCTTAGGATATACAGGTTTCCAGCAAGGAGCTGGGATTTGAAGTGTAGCCTCTGCAACTTGGCATGGATGAGCACAGGCGAAAAGGAGCCCCTTGAGCACTGGAAGGTGGCGGGCTGCTCCTGCACCCAGGCGGGGTCGAGGTACTGCCAGCTGACGTGGTCTCGGAAGTACACACGAGGGCAATGCAGGATCATGGGGTTCTCAGAGATAAAGGCGAGGATGCACGGGTGGCCCGGGAGGCACGATGAGCCCAGGGAGTAGCCTTCGTACAGGTCGCCCTCGGCCACAGCCAAGGCCAGGCCCAGGAGCAGCACCACGGAAGTCGCCCGACAGGACATGGCCAGTTGAGCATCCACTGCAAGGGGGACTGGGAAGGAAAGTTCCAGCTGACCTCACTGTGATGTCATCATGGTAAGCAAAAAGGGTGATGTCACAATGGCCACCCAAACTCTGCTGTTTCGCAATCCAGGGTCCTGAATCGCCTGAGCCAAGGCTGTTGTGGAACATTGTTGTCTTATTTCCAGGCAGAGACTGCAGAGTGGCATTTATTACTTCTGTTATTACCACAAAGGCAGCTTACAAGTAATATAAGCATGATAAAACCACGATAAACAATGTTTGCTTCATTTTTAATTGGAAGTTTCCACCCCTCAGGGCAGAGGGTGGATCATGGCCTTGGGACAAGTCGGTAGAGTCTAGGGCAGGTGCATGATGCAATCCTCACCCCCCCCCCCCCATGCTTGGAGTCCTTCCCAGAGGAAGGGAAGTTGGCAGAAGAAGGGGAAGGGGCAGGGGAGTCCAGCTAGAGTGGTCCCTGAGGCTTTCTCTGCCCCCCCTCCAAATGATTCACCCCTTCCAATCCATGCCTTGCTTGATCAAAATAATGAGTCGTCTTAATAAACAACTGGTAGGAAGAAATGATGGCGCTGCCATTTCTTTGCCTGGCCCAATCCTATGTATCAACAGAAAACTAGTAAACGTGGCTGCAGCAGAATGATTGTTGATGGCGTAGTTAGAGAAGCACTTCTCTTGATAAAAGTGTATGGGCTGGACCTATACAAAGTGTAAAGGAAGAAAAGAAAGGGGGCCATTAAAAGGATAGAGAAAGAGATCATGAGAGAATAGAAAATAGGGACAAGGAGACAAGGGACAAGGAGAAAAGACTTCTTGCTTTAGTGCTGTCCTTCTGGTCCCATCAACTATGTGGGAAATCCTGCCCACAAGTAAAGGAAGTTGGCCACATCACAGAGGCTGTATGTTTGTGGCTTGGAAGCGGTTGTGGAGGGGAGAAAACAGAAGAGAGATGCTCCAGAGCAAGAGGTAAGGAGGGCAAAGCCACTGCAGCCTTCAAAGAATTAAACAAGAAATGATATTTTAAAAGGCAAGAGAGCAATCAATCTGTTGCCTTAAAATTATGACTGGGATGCAAATCCTTTTAACATCATAATATTGTACTGCAAGGTAAGAAAGACTGAAGGCATAAGAAGGGGACAGCAGAGGACGAGGTGGCTGGATGGGGTCCCTGGTGCAAGGAACATGAATCTGGGTGAACTCCGGAAGACAGTGGAGGGCCGGGGCCTGGCGTGCTGTGGTCCATGGGGTCGCAAGTCAGGCACAACTTTGTGACCAAACAAAATGATCTCGGCTGTTGCAAACTTTCCTGGAAGGGGAGCTACTTCCGCCCCCTGGTTATTTTAAGCGCCTTTTCTGCATTTTTTTCGATTCTACAAAATCCTAAGGTGCAGTGGCAGTATGACAATGGCAGTTTTATTTTCAGTTCTTTCCTGATCACACCTCTCACGGAGTTGGCCTTTTTTACAGCTAGGGCTGCCCGGGTTGCCAGTTTCATCGCAAGTGCAGAGATCTCTGCACTCCTAGTGGGCAAAAATAATGACCGGCCCTTCATCCTTCACTCAGTTCAAAGTGTGGCACATGCTAAGAATTTGTTTCTGACCAATGGAGCAGCCTCTTGCACTAACCGTCCTTTGTCGACGCCAATCGCTCTCCTTTCCTTGCTCTTTTAAAACGGCTTTCCCGGGCAGTACCTGGGTGAGTTCACTTTCCTCTCAAGGGGAGGAGAGGAGGGTTAACAAAAGTTTATCCTCGCACCCCTCCCCTTTTCTCAAGTAGCTTGGCACGTTCTCAATATCTTCAAAGGGAAGGGAAGACTAAACTATTTTCATAACGGGGAGCACACGCACAGGTGAGGTTTACTGCCTTAAAAAAAGAATCCAGCTCGTTGCGCAAAGTTGGCCGAGGGAAGGAAAATAAACTGCAAGCCACGAAGAGTCTTCCGCAAGGAAGGTGCGCCTCAACGATCGCCTGCTCCCTCCCTCCGAGGGGAGTTGGTAGTTTCCATTCTCGGGGCGAGGCGCTGCGAGCGCGAGCCGCACCTGAGCTGCGCCCGGAGCTGGGCGCGCACGGAGGGCGAGCGGGTGGCGAGCGAGAGAGGCAGCCGTCCGTCCGTCGAGGAAGCGAGCAAAGCGCTCGCCACGGCGGCGGGGCCGGCTGGGAGCGACCGCACGAGGCCCCCGAGCGCCTGGCGCCCCCTCCTCCCTGGCGCCCCGGACCGTCTCCGGAGTCCGAGCGAAGCGGGTGGAAATGGAGACTCGGACGACGCGCCGGCCGGCCATGCTGCCCCTGCTGTGGTTTCTGAGCAGCGCCTGGATCTTAGGTAAAGCAGTCTGAAATGCGGGGTCCGCGCAGCACGCTCGTCGAAACACAGCACCTCGCACGCCCCTGCTCCCCCCTCGGAGGAGACGCTCCTTTGGGGGCTCCCGCTTTAGGGCACAGGGAATGCGGGGGGGGGGGGTCAGGGACTCGAGAGCTGATGGGCTCAAGCAATCCAAGGTGGCTTACAGAGCCCTTGTAAGGTTTTGCCCTTACAACAGCCGCGCGAGGTAGGTTCGTTGGGATTCTGTCACTGGCCAAAGTCACCCATTCATACCTGCATGGGGACTAGAACCTGGACTTGGAACACCCGCGCCTTTCAGGGTGGTTCCCTGGTGAGGGCAGGATGCCAGCTCCCCCGAGTGGTCCTAAAAGCTGTGTGGCAGGCAGAAGCGTACAAGGGGCAGCACTTCCTTGACATGGCGATTCCTCCCACCTTCATGGAGAATATGCACCTGTTGTGTTTCTACCTGTTCCTTAGTTGTCTAAAGCTATGCAGGCTGGTAATGAGGGGAGCTGCACTCAAATCTGTGTGGGGGGCATCTGTTTGGGGAAGATGGGTCTAAAGGCATGATTGCCATGTCAAGAGAAGTTGGCAACTGGGGGAGACAGGACAGGGGGTGATCCTAACACCCTTCCCCAGCATGGTCACAGGAGTTGTAGTTCTAGTACCCTGAGCAGGTATGTTTTACTCCTTGGGAGTCTTGGGCATCACACAGCCACAGTCACATGGGGGAGGCCTTCCTCTTTTGATGGGGTTCTGCAGTAGTTTTATTATTTATTTATTTATTTATTAATTAAAACATTTTAATGTTTTCCATGTGCCTTCTGGCCTGGCCCACATCTGAAGTCTCTGCTGCTTTCTTCATAGCCTGTTTTGGCAGTACCCTGCCAAATCCTGGGGTATACTGTATGCCAGCCAGAACCAGCTTGGAGTTCCTGCCTCCCCACTGTTCTTCCAGCCATATCTTTTCAGCAAGGTTTGTAACGTGGGAAGGCCAGGAAGCTTCAGTTTCCTGTAATCCGCTCCCATGTGTGCCTTATGGCTGACCAGTAGCCTCCTCATGTTATTCCCCTCCCTCTGGAATCTGGAGCATAAACTGTTTCTCTTCAGCCCCTCTTGGGCCCACCTTCTTAGAGTCAAGATCTAATTTGTCATCTTGGCTTCCGTCCCACTGGAAAGTCTTCCTTTTCCTCAGTGTGAGGTCATGTCTCTCTTGATTTTTGCACGGTTTCCTGCTCACAGCCTGAAGATCTGCTCTGTAGTTCTTAATCACCTAATGTGGCAGGAGGCGAGGCAGCAGCAGAATCTCTCTGCACCCCTGTCCTGTTGCCCGCTGAAGACGCTGCTACAGAAAGTTGCAGCGCACATAATGAGGGCCATGTGGGGAGGAAATGAAATGGTTTGGGGAAGCCATGACTAGCTGCCTCCCTGGGCACTGGGGAACTCAGTATTCCCACGTCCCTATCCAGAGATTGACAATCAACATGAAATGAAAGGCCTTTGTGTTCCAAAGGCATAGGTGGGCAATCTAATGCCTTCCAGTTGTTTTGGATTACACTTCCCATGAACCCAGATGTTGGCCATTCTGATGGGGCTTGTAGTCCAAAACATCGGGGGACCCAGAGTTGCCTATCACAGGCTCAGCATCTGAGACCATTGAAGCGACTGTTAACTGAAACTCCAGCAACTGGGAATCCATATAATCTCTTGGGCACCATAATTCCTAGCAGGAGGTGTGAGGGACTAAAAGCATTTTGTTCCCAGGGTAAAGATGGAGGTTGGCAGTGGGGACCCAAGGAGAACGTTCTCTGGTGGGTTGTGCTCAGGGCTGCTTTCATATCCCTTTCCCAGCACTGGCCAGGCTGTCGCTTGTGGGAGTGCTGGCAGGGTGTGTGCTTGGCGTGTAGCCGCCTTCTTCCAAAGTAAACACACCAGGACTGGCTGATAATTGCCAGTGCTCAACCCTAGCCTGTTAATGTAATCCTAGTTTCATGAGTCTGGGGAAGTGTTATGATTGGGCCTGTTGCCCTGCCTGTTCGAGTGTCTGTTCGGAGTGTAGGCTCTAGGTGTGCCTGATGGTGGGGAACATAACTCCCGTTTCTCCCCAGAAGAATGATGTCTGCAGCTGGCACGCAGTGGCCATGACACACAATGCTTCCTGTCCTTTGTGGGAGGAAACAGCTCTCGATACCAACCCCCTTCAGGTTGGAGTGAAACCGCAGGAGCAAATAAAAGGAATAAGGAAGAATGTTGATGCAAGCAGTGAATGGGCGCTTGCTTTGTTTCAGTGGAATGAAACTCTGGGGAAAAATAGCTGTCTTGTTAACTCAGGCAGTAGAAAGGAGAAGCTTAAAAAAACTTCTTTCCATCAGAAGGCTTACACAGAAACAATCTAAATAAAAGTGGTGATTCTCTGCTTGTGAAAAGAAGATGAAAACAGCTCTGTCCTTAGGAGGAGGACAGGCAGCAACAGGGGGCAGCTCTTTCAGTGGTCACTGGGGAACCATTAGCCCTGAGGGGGGAACCATTAGCCCTGAGGGGGTGACTTGCATCATTGCCTGTCCTTTAGGAACCAAGTTAAAATGGTTTTAATTGACGCTTTTGTGTGTGTTGATATTCCTGACCTCTTGAGTTTACTGCTGGTTTTTGTGACATTGCTTTTAAGTACAGGTTGCATAGATATGTTTTAAAGATACTGTATTCAAGCATTTTGTGTATGTTGTCTTGAACATATGTGGAAGGATGGGGTGGTCTGGGGACCATACAAGGTTTTTTCCACTTGAATTTGGCTAGAGCTTATGTTGCTTTTGAACAGTGGGAAGTTCACGATGTGGAAAAGATTGGCGCCTGTAGATGTTGTGAGTAGGTTAGGGTATGCTTGTATTTAACAACTTGCTTTGTCACCATACCTGAACAGGTGAGTGAGAAGGCTGGAGGAACAAGAGGTATGAATCTCTCCCCACACCTTTCCCTCACAGTCCACTTGGTTTCTGTGCTGGCTGAGGAGAAAGGAATACAGAGCACTGACCCTTGGAAAGGTGGAATGGATTGATCTGTGTCCCCCACACCAGTCCATTTGGGACAAGGCTTTTACACAAACAAACAAACACAAACCGGTGCTTGCTGAGTGGCATGAAGCCTGTGTTTCTGCGTGGCACATGGACACCGGAACTTCCCTTCTTTGGCCAGCATGGGAATGAAAGTTACAGAACATGTACTGTAACATCCCAGTTTTTGTTTTGCTTTGCTTTGTTTTGCTTTGCTTTGCTTTGCATTGCAAGTAAGTAACTTTGGTTGGATTATTTACAAGACTAGCTTAAGGAGTGTCTGTGGTCAATTGTCTTACTTGAGTGCTAGGATGATTACAGGGGAAAATTTAAGCATAAGAAAATGTCTCTTCACACAGGCTTGTAAATAGCTACTTTCCCTGTTTGTCTGTTATAAATAAGAATTTCCTTGAGTGACCAGGCATGACTGCTCTGCTAAACTGGAAAAACTGTTTTTTGTCAACAGGATGAAGAGGTGTAGTTGGAGACTGGTATACTTTTTATATGCTTTTTGGTTTGCAGGGTTTGGCTGATGAGTAGCACATGTTGGTAACACTGCTGGGGAGGATGGGAGTAGGAAATGCTAAAACCTAATTACCCCTCTGTTTGGTAATCCATAAACTGTGACCTTCAGTCTGGTTTTAAATGCTGGGGAGGTAGGCTTGATCTTTTCCTCTCCATCACCCTATTTCAGGCAGGACTTTGGTGGGTGGTTAAACCACCTGGTGTAGGTTATGTAATTCTGGCTCTGTTTGGCATGACCAGGCAAGCAGCTCAATTGCTGAACTTAGAGGAATAAGTTAGGGGGCTGGAGAAACTGCAGCTCTCCAAGCTCGCTATTTCAGTGAAAGTGGAAGAAGCAATCTTTTTGGGAATGAGAAGACACAGACTGGAAACTGAGGCTCCTGGTGTTTCTGTGCTTTCTTTCTGGAATCCTGTGTTTCCTCTTAGGTGAAGGATACATAGACATTATGACTGTCTGGCTCTCCATTCTGAGACGTGGCTGGTTTAAGAGTATGAATGAAGTTCAGTGCACAGTGATATTCTTGTCTGTGGTGGTCTTGTTCTTACTTCCTCAGGCCCTCTTCAGTCCAGTTCCCACTGCTTGTTGTAAATGTGACAAACTTTTTATTTGATAAATAAGCCTGCTTCTTCCTTCACGATAGCAAAGCTCTTGAGCCCACCTCATGGCTAGAAAGTTTTCCCTTTGCCAAGAGCTCGTGGACTAAGAGTATCCTTGCCCTGTCCATCACCATAGCAAGTGCAAACAACCAGCATTTTAGTTTAAGACAATATCATGTTTGATCTGAGCTTGTAGAAACCATGGCTGTCCCTTGATACATCCCATGCTGGATGCTCTAATGGTTTTCTCCTGCGGAAAGAGGAAGCAGAGAAGCCAAATTGGCTTCACAGGATGGTGGAAACAAGCCTTTAACAAGTGTGCGTGATGTTTGCTGAGAGGATAAGCTTGGTCTGGCAAAGGAAACGCCTTGCAATGAGAGAACAATGTAGCTTTTCTGCATATCGTCTTGCCTTGTCTGACCACCTGCTCCTGTTCCAGGCCCCGCCACTGCGATGCAAGTAACAGTGCTGAACCCCTTCAATGTAGCCATCCTGTTTCAGCCGGTCACGCTGCAGTGCAACTACCAAACCACAGCCACCCAGCCACCCATTGTTCTGTGGAAGTACAGGTCTTATTGCCGGAGTCGCCTGGCAGATGCTTTTAACCCCAGCAGCCAAGAGAGCCAGATTAACAGCCAGCTGCAGCAGAGCAACCCCGGCTACAACCCCTACGTGGAATGCCAGGACAGCTCCAGGACTGTGCGTGTGGTGGCCACCAAGCAGGGCAACACAGTGACTCTTGGCCAGTTCTACCAGGGCCGGCGAATCACCATCATCAATGGTAAGTGTGCAATGCCAGTGGCTGGCTGGCTTAGGCCTGTAGTAGCCTCTGGCCCTGTTGCTGGTGGGATGGGTGAACTACCTCCAGGCTACCAAGAGGGCAAGCTTTGCAAAGTCTTGTGCTTCTTCTAGAAGCCACAAATGATTAGCATAGCTGTGTGTGGCCAGATGAGTGTGAACATTTATGTGGGCTGAGAACTACTGTGGACTTACTTACAAGTCTGGCCTAGAGTAACTTTTTCTGGTCTCCAGGTGTGTTGGGCTCTTAACTTCTATCATCCCTGTCAATTCATTGAGAGGGCACTGGCTTGGGGAAGGCTGATCTGAAGCCTTTGCAAAACCCAGCTGGACCCAGGACTGTGAGGTACCTTCCCAGTACTAAACAGTGTGCGTGTTTGCACCTTGGAGTGAAGAAGTCAGGGCATTCTGACAACTTGATTTATGTCACACAAAGGGTAAAAGCTATCTAGTCTTACATCCTGCTTATGGTGGCCAACCCAAAGCCTGGGAGATGTCCACCTGCAGAATATGAATGGATCACAACACCCGCAGCACATGTTTGTCTCGAACTCTTCTCCAGTTACCTAGTTGACTAAATCTTTGTATGTTTGCATGAGAGAGGAAACAATGCTAAAGGGAAAAAAAAGAATATGATTACTGTTGATCATTACGTGTGTTGCAACAGCCATCCTCCTGGAGACATCTCCACCTTCTCTCTTGCATAGAGTAATACCTTGTAAATTTCCCTTGGCATCGGTAGTACTTATAAGCATTTTTATTTAAAGTGTCTTGTAAACAACCATGACTCTGCTGACAGAATAATCAGGAGCATATTTTCAGTTAATCAAAATATTTTGACTATGTTTAAGATTGCAACTTAATACACTTAATGGGGAGGGAATCCCACTGGTTGCAGTGGGAAATAGTGCCAAGTAAACATGCATTGATTTGTTTTGTAAATATTGCAGCCCTGGTCTCTTGCAAACTGGGACCAAATTTAGTTTCCCTTTTGTAATCCTTCTACCATATTGTCTGTGCTGAAAGACAGCCCCTGTTAAACTCTGTCCTGCTTCATTTTTTAAGTCTGTGTGGGTGTTTTTTATTTTATTTTATTTTATTTTATTTATTTATTTATTTATTTTACGTGAGCCCTGACAACAACAAGGATTTGAGTGGGAAGGCAAAACAAGAACAAACAGCATTTGCTGTTCTGGCAGGTCAAAAGTCCATGGCAAAAACCTCCAGCCGTGATAACATGTTTCAAAACAAGAGGTGGTGGTCAGATTCTGAAGCTTTGTATGCTGTGTTCTGTCTCTCCGCTCCCTGCACACCCACAGAAATTATACTGTGATTTAACAGAAGGTCATCTTCTCATGACTCAAGCTGCAAAAAGTCCCCCTTTGGATATCTGTATGGCATTTCCTTCTTTATAGTTCTCTTCCTGAACACAGAGTAGATCCAGGAGTGAAACCTGACTAGTTGGTCTGCTGCACCACAGACCTTGCTGTTAAATAACATACTTAAATTATATACCGCGCTGCAAACTTTCCATCCTCCCAGCACTTTCTAACTAATTGCACTTCTGAGAAGATGTACAGAAAAGTTTGATTGAAACCGTGTGTAGCTTGGGCTGATGATCAAATTATGGAAGATTCAGTCTGCAAAATGTGCTTTGTATTCTGAGCAAGGATGGGGAACTGACAGTTCGTAAGCCAGATGTGGCCCACGAAACTGCCTTCTTGCTTTTAAATAGTGGGCGTCCGTTGTCCAAATACCTAGGGGGACATAAAAAATAGGCCATGGGGACAATGAATCTGGACTTCAGCACTTGATCCTTTCAGTGATTTTACTGTTCAAATTTTGACACAAACCCTTGGAGCTATGAGGAACTGACACCCATCTTTAATCAATGGAAGTAGCCAAAACATCACTTGAATCACATTTCTTAACCTCCCTGTTGCATCATATCATGTGCAGTTTTGCAAAGTTGATTGCAGTTAGCAAACTCCTCTTGCTCCACTCAGAGCTGATGCCAGATTCTTGGCATAAGCCGATCAAGGGGTCTTTGCTGGCCCTGGCCCTGTACCCCCCTTCTACCCACCTAAGCCATCACCAGGCAGCCAGCCAGCTAACTAAATCCCCTCACCTACTGTTATCTGCCACCGAAGCTTGCCTCCCTTGCTCTGGGTTATTCTGAAGGGGGGGCACCCTCCTCCTCTTCGCCTGGCCAGCGCCCCGCTAGCAAAGCACTGGGCACTCACTGAAGTCTTCAGGCCCTGCGCTCAATTTGAAAGTCGTCTTATCTGCACTACAAGGCCCAAGGGCCCCCGGTGGCGCCCAGTCAAGGCCGGCAGGCCAGCACATCTGGAGACCACCAGGTTAGGGCAGGCTGCCGCACTGTACTGGATGCCCGTTCGTGCATTCGGGGGCCATTCCACGACTCCCTGCTCAGCTTTTCCTTTGTGCAGATGTGTGTTCGTGGCCAGTGCAAGTGCAAAGGTGGTGGTCTTCTCCTCTATTAACACTCCTTTGAGAGGTTGATCAGTTGACCACCCACCGGGTGACTTCCTGGTGAGCGTGGAATGTGGTGTCCTAGGAGACCTTTTTGCCAGTTTCCTGCTTCATTCCCTGGCAGGGTGTGGTGACTTGTCTTTAAGGAATTTTGCTTGAAAAAAGGTCTCTCTCGAACAATGAGTCTTCCACCAATTGAGAACTTCACACTTTGCATTTGAAGACCTACAATTGCGTATTTAGAACTTTGGAGACTACTAGCTTCATTTTCTTTGTCAGTATCTTACATTTTAACATATAGCTATTTATTCAGAAATTAATGTGTGTATTTCACTTGTGGAGTTCTGGTGGATTTTTGCATTGTTACCCTTCTGGAGATGCATGTTTGGATGTTGTTGCTTGGATGATACATTCTTATACCCTACATGTGATACACGCATAGGCACTTTATAATAATCTGGTCTTTGAAACTTTGGGGATGGGGAAGGGATGAAAGCTGAGGCTACTAGGACTCCACTGAAGTTGCAACATTCAGAGCAGGTCTGAAATCACTGAAGGCGTCCGCCAAGCTGCAGATAAGCAGGTCTGGGGCTGTAAATGGCTGTTTTGCCTCGTTCTTTGTGTCAACTGGTTGACCATGTGCAGATATCTTGGCGAGGCAGATTTTTTGCAGCCTTACTGTGAGTGATCTTGTGTGCATGGACATGTCTCACTTGCTCCTTTTTCCAGCAGGAGTTCCCCACATATCCCAGTGTTTTCCCCTGTATTTTGTCCATTGCAAGAAATCTGGCACAGCAGCATTTTCAGTCTTCTTTCCACCCTTCACTGAGCCTCACAGCTTGAGTTATTTTTTCTTTTTTAAAATGCAGTGCAGCTATTGTGCTTTGCACCTGTTGTGCCTGTATGTTGTGCCTCTGTTTGTCCACAGCAGTTCTTCCCTATACTCTTTACTGGGGCTGTAGGCATTCACTGATAACATTTTCATTGCAGCCCTATGCATGTTTGCTTGCAAATAAGCCCCACTGAATTCGGTGAGATTTTCTCCCATGTAAGCATTTGTGGGATTGCAGCCTTTCAATTGAAGCTTTCATACATTCATTCTGCAGTTCAGTTTTACTGATGGCGACAAACCTTAATGGATGTAAGACGTGGGTTAAGGGCGCTCTTATTTCTGAGGCTGTTTTGTTTCTGGCAAGTCCCTGTGGTGGGGGAAGGAAAAGACGATTCCATCTAACAATAAGTGACAGCGTTTGTTTTTTCAAACAGCATGTTACTTCTATATCCTGCAATATCTTAAAAGAACATCTGTACTGTTGACACATAGGTACGTTCATAGGCAGCTGGCTACCGGGTGATGTCCTGACTCTGGTTTATTTTTGCATCACGAGCGGTAGGCCTGTGCAAGAGCAAGGTGGCGGCACTGCCTTGGACAGCTTTCCCTCTTCTGATGCTCTCCAGATGTGTTGGCCCACAACATTATCATGTAGTCAACATTTCTGCAGGGCAACAGGTTGGGAAAGACTGGCTGGTAACAGCTGAGGGAGGGGTCCAATTTTCTCAGGAACGCTATTTCCCTATCCTGGGGGTAATGCTGTCTCCCTGCAGATGCCGCCTTGAGGGAAAATGCTGCGGAGACTTGAGGGAAAATGCGGAGACTCCGCATGGTGAAGGAAGAACATGCATCTGTTTTAGAAAATTACTTTCAGCATCCATGTGGACATATGTTTTTGGCCTTCTCTCTTCTCCTCTTCTAGATGCTGACCTCAGCATAGAACAGACGGCATGGGGGGACAGTGGGGTTTACTATTGCACCGTGACGTCCTCCCAAGACTTGCAAGGCAACAACGAAGCCTATGCCGAGCTCATCGTGTTGGGTAAGTCAGGAGCCCCCTGTATGCAAATTGCTCGTAGAGATCAAGGCAGCTTAATTGCACGTTTGGGGAGACTTCCCAGGAGAGGATGCATTCCTGTAAGTCTAGCTGGGCTTTCTAGATTAATCCCCTGAAGGGAAGGAAGCCAGGTTGGCTGGCAACATCCGTTTGCCCAGCAGAACTGGTGCCATGTTCGGTTCCTTCCCAAAGCCCACTCATTCAAGGTGAGAGCGTGAGTTTTGGTTTACCTGCAGAGCAGAATGATGGCACAGCTCCTCCATATTAAAAAAAAGACAAACCAGGCAAGAAGAAAAATAGTACAGGAGGGTAGACTCTGGCGTAGATATTTTTTTAATGCTGTGTTAGTTTTCTCTTTGGAAGATTTGATTTCTTAAAGGAAACGTACAAATGTAGGGAAGCATTCAGAATTCTGACCTCTCACTGGTGGTCTGGACTGGTATGATCCACTATTACATCATTCTGCCACATGGAGGTGCATGGGGCGCATTGTTAGGGCATCTGCACTATGCTTCCTGCCCCGGACTCAGTTGCAAGCTGTTCTATCATTCAGGCTGCTTGCTTGACAGCCACATCAATCCCACTGCCTTTCCTAGGTTTTTTGTGGCTGAAGCCTCCCTCTTTCTGCGCACATCCATCGTTGTGTTCTCTCTCTCTCTCTGTTTCTCTGCACCCCATGCCTTGGCAAAGAATCCGTTGCAGAAGTAGGTTACGTCCTGTATATTCCCGCTATTACTCTGCTGGGACAAAGCAGGGCCTCTGGACTGTTGCCAAGGTACAGGTTAAGCTTTGTTTACTATGAACACACAGCTATTTTTTTTGCACCCTGTGTGTGTGTGTGTGTGTGTGTGTGTGTCTCGGGTGCATGCATGCGCAATGGTAACATTGTTGTAGTGGAGGAACCAGTTCTGAGTAGCGCGTGGAGGAAAGCATTGCGGAGTTTCCTTTTTGTTCTGTGATAATAATCGTAGCCCTGGGGATTTGTGCCCTCCGAGCTGCTTAAATAGGCTTGTTCTCGAATAAGATGATTTTAGCAGACATGCTAATCATGCAGCAAGGCAGAACACATGGCTTATTTTGTAGTGTTCTCCCCTTCTCCTTGGTTAGCAGGAGTGAAGAGCTGCATGGGGTCCGAAAACTTGCATTCTACTCGCCGGGCTTTGACTCAGTCCTAGGCGTCTTCAGTTGCAGCCGTCTCTGGTGAGCAAGGCTGGGGATGACCCATCTTTGCCTGAGATCTTGGACAGGTGTTGACATTCTTCGAATGTGCCATCTCTGTAAGGCTGCGGCCTGTGTTCCTGAACATCCTTAACTGTAACTCTGAAATCCTGTGAGATTGGATGACCTCCTTAACGAATTACCTGTGTACTTTTAAGATTTCTTTGTATACATAAGAACTAGAAACTTTTAAAAAATGAATTCTGTTATGTGAATGAGATTTCTGTGTTTGCCCCCTGCACACAGCTCAGATCCACATGCAATGAGTGAGAAAAGATGAATATGCTAATTTCCGTTTCTATTAGTTTCCCTTTTTTAATCTTAATTCTGCACAAGCACATGATTTCTCTTTTTTAAAGTCTGTACGAAAAGGTGCATGTTTTCATGCTTTTTCTTCTACTAAAACATTCTTACAAGCAGTTTCCTCTACTATAATGCATTTTATGCTATTTTTCACTAATGTACACTATTGTGTGTACTTACCCATGATAAATGCATTTTGTAAACAATTTTGATTGGACTACTGCTTTGGAAATATTTAGAATGCAAATATCAAAAGATAACTACATTTTAATTTAGGAAGTGCTTTCTAAAGTACGCATTAAGGAGATTAATATTAAAATGTTAACTGAGCAATTTCCTGTCTTCCTTGTCCCCCAGTCGCAAGCAGGGGTCTCACTGTTTCAAGCTGAGAGAGAGAGTCGGTTCTCAGCAATGCTGGGATTCAGAATGTGGAAGCGATCTGGCTTCAGCACATGACTTGCTGAATAGTCACCTGAGGAGAGGCCCCTGCTGTTGAAAGAGAGCTAATAGGTGCAGGATAACCTGCAAAATATTTGGTTTAAAAGACCCTTGCTTATAGAGGAGTGCAATTCTTGCAAACAAAACTTTGGACCTTTTTCACTTGGCTTTACCTTGTCCATCCGCTGAGTTGCTCAGGGCAGTTTACTGCGTCGTCTTATTGTCCATCAAAACCATGCAAGGTGGATCAGGCTGGGAAACAGGCAGTGGGTCTTGGCCGGTCACTGAGTCTCATGGCTGACTCTCCCATTCTCTAGTCTAGCCTTTCCCAATGTGGTGCCTTCAAGCTCCTTTGGATTATAGCTCCCATCAGCCCCAGCTAACATAGCCAATGGTGAGGGATCATGGGAGTTCATGTCCAACTCATCTGAAGGGCGCCAGGTTGGAGAAGGTTGCTGGAGCTGGCTGGCGCAGCCTGATATGCAAGTACCCGGCATTTAAAACCTGTGATCTGATTCCCTCACTGTGCAGTTAAGTTGCTGACATTCCTCTGGGGGGCTTTGGGAATTCCCTCTGTGAATGGGAGCAGTGCAAGCAGGGGACCAGCTACTTCAGCGCACCCTTGGCACAGCCGAGAGTTATTGCCCGAGGCTTGGCTCCAAGCTGGCCAAAATAGGGAGTCCTCTCTCCCAGAAAGCAGGGTCTCCATGCAACCCCTGTCCGCAGCCTGCCACTTCTTCCCTCGACTTCCCCCTTTTATTTTCAGCGCCCCTCTGTGCTGAGAACTGCAGTGGAGGGTGTGCCTGCCTGTGCCAGGATTAATTGTTCTGAAAATGTCGGCTGCTTTACAGCAGGGTCCAGAAAGGAAATGCACTTCCAAACACTTCTGCCCCGTAGAGTGAGCGTCTCTGTGCGTGCCTGTTTCTGGTTTGCACGTGCTCCGTCACACACGGAGAGGCCGCAGGAATGCCTGAGCCTTGTCTCTGTTATTCCTCCATTTCTGTAAGATAAAAATTGTGGCTTTAGGGCAAGTTAGCACATGCATGTTGTTAGTTCTTGACTACCAAAGTTACGGCTTGTGCATGTGGCCAGCCCAGATGGAGGGTCTGGTGTTGCTGTGTGTGTCTCCTCCAGCCCAGAGGTTTTCCGTGAAGGAAGATCGTGCCGTGTTTTGCATGTGCAAATGGAGCAGATTATGAACAAGAAACGTGCTTGAATGGAGGGCCAAGGAGCTTTGCTGAGAGATTGTACAGCAGGAGTTGCTTGGAAGGAAATCGGGCCCTTCCAGAGCAGCATGTTGAACTTGCACATCTGCAGAGATTGTGCCTAAGGCTTGTCACCCACTGATGGTTCAGAAATGAGAAGTTGGTGTCGATTTTGCAGTGGTGCTACGCAAGCCTGTTTCATTACGCACTATTAACTTAGGTTTAAACGTACTTCAGAACAGAGGCAGGGAAATGTAATATGGCTTGGGGAGAATTCTCTTCTCTTTCAGTTGCTTCTGAGAAATTCCATTTGTCCACTGGGTCTGACTCAGCTGTACTCCTTTCCTTGCTGTTTTTATTTCTTCACAAAGCAGGCGCTTCAAAGGAGCAAGCCTGAGCAAAAGTCCTCAAACGCTACTAACCAGAAATCCTTTTGCTGGTTACCCATCTACCCATACACACCTTATTCATTTCTAACAACAGCTCACTTTAAAAAATTCTATCTCTTTACTGGCATCGGAGATGACAAATAATTTATGGAGTAAACTGAACCTGCTCTCTTTGCTCTTCACTCTGCTTAAATAGAGAAGGGAGAGGGGAGAAAAGGTTATGCAAAAAAGTACAGGAGAAAATAGAAGACGAGGGAAAGAGAGCACAGGAATGGGCAGCTTGTGGCCTTCTGAATGTTTTGGCCTGTAACTCTCACCATCCCTCACTAGTGGTGGTGCTGCTGCTGTGGCTTAGAGCATTTGTAGTCCAGGATATCTGGGGGGCTGCTGGTTCCTCTCTCCTGATGTAGCAGAAGTTGGAAGCTAAGCTGCATAAAGCGGGAGTGCTGGATGTCTGGCTTTACAGAGGCCAAAAGATCTGACTTTCAGAAAGCATTCCTGCCTCTGGCTTTGCCACAAGTGCCCCATCAGGTTCTTCCCTGAGACGTCAACTTCTTTTACTGGGGCGCTGCTGAGTTGGTGCTTTCCCAACCCAGCCTCCTCCACATGGGTTTGACTGTGCTCTCACCAACTTTAATCTGTCTGTCCGGGGATGATAGGAGGTGTAATGCAACCCATCTGGAGGATCCCGGGTTGGGGAAAGCTGCCTTAAATGATGACTCCATCCCTTTGATCCTTCTGGCCTAGAAGTGCCTCTGGGGCAGCCAGCTCTATTGAGTAACTCTCTTTTTCTGTGTTTTTTGTTCTGTAGGCAAATCCTCCGGTGTCTCAGAGCTTTTGCCAGGCTTTCAGATAGGGCATATGGAAGGTACTGGCTTTGCTTCTTTTTCCATGCTTTCTTTCCACGGGGTTGTTGTGGGGAGTTTTGATCTTTAATATTCCCTATCCTTCAGTGTCTCAAGGACAGAAATAGGAATGCTGGTTTCGAAAGGGTTCCAAAATCCTTCCTCTCTCTCTCCCTCTGTCTCTAGAGAGCGTCCATTGTTTTCCTGCTGTAATTAAAGCACGCTTTCACCTTTTCCAGATTTCACAACCAACATTGTGTTGTAACATGAGAAAGTGCCCTTTCCTCCTCATGGGCTGACTGTGTGAGCCAGTATCAGCGTCTCAGAGTGAGCGATTACATTGGAAATTTAGTCCGTGGTCCCCTTCATGCGCACATCCTATTTCTTGGGTGTGCACCCTAAAAAATGTAGCCAAAATATGCATCACACAGATATATATGTTGGAAAACTGGGATTGGATGCAGCTCTCCATTGAGTATAGACTTCATGGCAAAACCTGGGTCGTAGGCATGTAATGTGGGAAAGCGCCTTTTTGAAGACCTGGACTAGTAACCAGTCATCACTCTTGTCTCCTTGCCCCGTGGGCTTAAATCATGGGGGTGGGGGTGCTAATTTGAAGTATTGGACTGATTCTCTTGCTTAGTGATATGAATAGGAGACAGGGTCCCCATATTCGGTTGGTGAGGGTCTGCTTGGAATGCTCACAAAGCGCTTGTCAGCATAGTCAGGATCTCTGTGAGGGTGAACCCTTCAGAAGCAGGCAGTAACCAACAAAAGGTGTAAACCGAAGAGGAAGAAAGAGGCAAACCCGTTGGGAGTTGGCGTGGGGGTCCAGGGAGCAGTGCCTAAAATACTGCTCTGTAGCCAACTCGACACAGGAGCTGGTTCCAGAATTCAGTTTAACTTTTGATAGCCAAGGCCCAGTTGCACGGAATGACTTTATAAAGGGTACGTTCTGCATCATGGACCGTCATGGATGTGGCACACCGTGGCTCAAACCCACGTAATGTGTGAACCAGGAAGGCTGGCTTGTGGCGGGAGAGACAAGCCAGAGCTGAAGCACAGCGAACACGTGCCTGGCTTGTTTCTTTAATGTGGGTCTGTCTCAGTCCAGCACTGCTTGAAAAATGAAGGACTCGGGCTGACCACAGTCCTGTACTCCTCCACGGGAAAGAGAAAAGAAAGGAGGATTTTGAACCTGGGTCAGTTTTTATGTGAAACTGCTTGATGCAGCACGGGAAGCCTTGTGCTTCCATGACTAATTTAAGTCCAACATTTGCATGACCATGGGAGAGATGCTGCCTCCCCAGAGCTGTTATGGAGCAGTTCTCCTGGAACCGCAAGCTATTAAAGCGTGGCTGAGGCCTCAAGCTGTGGAAGGGGAGGAGATCAGCAAGGGGGTCCCCCAGACCTTGGATGGGGTAGAAATTGAGAAGCCTCCTGGAATCCCCGGCTTGGGTGGCTCTCTTGATGCCCGGCATGCTGCCGGTGCCGTGAGGAAGGGCTCCCGGGCTCTGGATGCAGGAGCTGTGGCCCAGCACTCCGGGAGGGCGCCGGAGTGAGAAGGCTGCCCCAGAAACCTGCCGGCTCCTCGCCCACTCTGCCTCAAGGGCCTCTCCCCTCTTCCCTCCCAGACTGGCTCTTTGTGGTCCTGGTGGTGCTGGGCTTCTTCCTCATGGTGCTGCTGTGTGGGATCTGCTGGTGCCAGTGCTGCCCTCACACCTGCTGCTGCTACGTCCGATGCCCCTGCTGCCCGGAGAAGTGCTGCTGCCCGAAAGCACGTAAGTTCCTCTCGCAGATCTGCGTCGCCTCTCCCGCTGGAGGGCCTCACGTTGCGGATTCCCCCTGAGCTCTCTGCCTGGCCCTTTGGCCAGCCTTCTGCCCAGGGGCCTGCCCCAGAGGTCGTCGTTTTTATTTATTTATTTATTTATTTTTTCGATTTATATCCTGCCTTTTTCCTACAAAGGGCTCAAGGCAGCTTACATCATTCTCCTCCTCCACCTTATCCCCACAACAACAACCCTGTGAGGTAGGTTGGGCTGAGAGTCTGTGACTGGCCCAAAGTCACCCAGTTGGCTCCATGGCCGAGCGGGGACTCGAACCCAGATCGTCTGAGTCCCAGTCCCATGCTCTTAACCACTGCACCACACTGGCTCGTTGGTCCGAATATTCCAGAAGCCATGAATATGGCTTTCCCAGGCAACCGGCGTTATACTGAGGAATGTGTGTTTTCTGGAAAATTTGGAAATTTAAGCTGGATCTGAACCAGGAAGGGCTTTTATTAATGCTTTAGAATAGCCTTGTCCTCCAGATGTTTGGAACTACAACTCCCAGGATTCTAATCATGCATCAGCCATATTGTCTGAAGCCGATAGAAGTTGACGTCCAAAACATTTGGTGGTTACCCTGTTGCTTAATACTTCCCTAGGGAGTGATCTAATTTAGCATATTTGTTTTACTAGTGTGATCAACAACGTTTTAAAAAAGAACCTCATATTAATGTTTCGTTACTAAGGGTCTAATGAAAAGTAGAGGGTGGGAAATTCACAGAAAAATGCAGCATTGGGATCTTTTTCACCATCTGTACGACAACAGAACGTTGTTGCAGGGAAACCTTGGATACGGAGGATGCTGTCTTGTTGAATGCTGAAAGGTGAAACTGGGGCGAGATAGCTTGATTCCTGACATGGGTGTGTTCAAGGTCATGCTGTTTCTATTTTGACGCAGCGTAAATTGCCTCCGTTTATGAATCATCTCTAAGACCACAATGCAAGTGATGCAACCCTTAGTGAAACTTTATTTGCAAATGCCAAGGCAGGTAAAAGAGGCACCAAGCACATTTACAGCAAATGTGTAAATGTTTAGCTTTAGAAGGCAGACCCCATCTCTGAATGGCTCTGTAACCACCCTTACTCTGTGATCAAAATGGGGAGTTACTCGGATAAGGAATGTTCAATTATTTCATAACCTGCCTGGTTATGAAAAGGAAAGATCCATTGTTTGTGAGCTACATGCGAAAGGGCTTTTTCTAGGGTGCTCCCAAACTGTGGAACAAGCTCCCTCAAGCTTTCAGAAAAGGTATGAAGACTAATATTTTAAAGTTTGCTTTTTAAATTATCCAGTTCTCTTCTTCATTTTCTCATTTTTATTGTGTTATGCTTTTGTTTTTCATTTTTTACAATTGTTTTGTATTGCCTTGATGGCTTATTAGCACATAAAGTAATATATAGACCTTAATAAGCAATGAAAGTGTGTGATTTTATGGACCCTCTTAGGGAGGAAATTAATCTGTGGGCCAGTTCAAAAAATGTCCATATAGGATTTTTTTTTGCCCCCTTGGCTGGCCTGGCTGTGGATTTCTCAGTGCTATGTCTTTAAGAACTGCCATTCACATGGGTGGGTTAATCCCAGAAGGGGCTTCAAATGATTTGAATTTTGCAGGGCAGTCTCTTTTCCAGGTTCCTCGGTCTAGAAGGGAGTGTTGTAGCTCTTAGTCAGGATCTTTACTGACGTGTATCCATGTGCATCCCTGTGCGACTGGAGTCATGCCAGCTTTACATGTGCACCTTTCATAACCGTGAAGCAGCATTTTGAATGTGGTTTGAAAAACTTGCGAAGTCTTTGATATAAAACTCTGTTCCTTTCTCCTTTCTTAAATCACTTCTGATTCCTACACAACTCTGTCTCCCTCCAGTCTACCTTGCAGGGAAAGCAGCGACTGCTGGAGCTCCCAGCGTTTATGCCCCCAGCCTCTACACATCCAGCAACCCGTTGCGACCAGCGCCCCCAGGCACCGTTGTCCCAATGGGCTCCATCGCTCCCATGTACAACGGCTATGGAGCGGATTACGACGGGGCCAGCTCAGGTGGGTGGCTTCCCTTAGCCTTGTTCACGCTGGCCCAGCGCTGGTTCCGAGCTGGTTTGAACTGACAGCTCTAAAAGGACTGGGGCTAGCTGGGGGCCTGATGATGCCTTTGAATTCTCATTTGGGCTCCTCCCCTGATCTGTGTGACGATATTGCTGGCTGCCCTCTTCGGAGACTCCCCAGTGTTATGGGCAGCCGCTGGCTGGATCAACACAGGAATAAGCCCATTTGACCTTGGTACCAGTTAGCCGACAAAACCAGCCTCCTTGTGAGTGGGGGCTTTCCCTCACCAGAGGCCTTCTGGAAGAGGCTGGATAGTCATCTGCTGGGCAGACTGTACCTCTGGATTTGCTTATGGAGCAGGAGCAGATGTTCTGCAAGCTCCTGTGGTAGCTTGTAGGCTTTGTGGTAAATGGCGTTCACTTTATAATGTAGACCTGTGGGGCCTGGAGCTGCAGCCACACCCTGAACAGGCTGAGGAAAGCTTGCAGGATCCAAGGTAGGCTTGGGTATCCCTCCTAGGCTTGCCTACCTGCCATTCCTCTAACAGATCCCCCTCTCTCCTTGGTTGCATTCCAGTTGGCGGAAACAGTTCCCAGGTGCCTCTCCTGAGGGATTCCGAGAGTGCCGGTAAGCAACACTTGTATGCCGTCCCGAATGTGTGAACAGATGGGGTGAGCCACCCTGTGCATGGGTAGTTGAGCATACCTGGTTGTGGGGAAGCTGCTGATAACTGGCTCCTGGACCTTGCATGTTAACCATTTACATGGCTGGTTTGGGGTGATCCAGTCACTTGTATTAGCAGGCGACGGAGAGGTGGGAAAAGACCATGTTGAAGGTTAGTGCTTCCCCCTACTGGACAGGACTAGAATTGCTTAGTCATGATGTCGGCATGAGGATGCCTGCGAGGGCTTTGTTCTTTGATGTGCAGACATGGCCTGCCCTGCAGAGTATATGAGGGTGTCCCACTGCTCTCTGCCTGGGATGCCTTCTCCTTTACTGCTGGAGAGGATGGCTCTGAACCTGGAGAGCTTGGTCCTTCCTCCTCTGAGCTAAGCGGGGCCAGCAGTGGCGCTGGAGGGCCGGGCCCCCATTTCTCCCAGCTGTGGAGAATCTGGTCCCTCATATCAAAGCTGTGGCCACTGTTAGCAGACCTTAGTGGGTAGGCAACGTCCTGTACTATTGAAATGTTAGAAGTGCATTTAGTTCCTCCAGGCAGCACTGCCTGAAATTGCAAATAGCTCCTCCAGACAGCGCGTATTTACTGCTGTCAGTTTGCATCCTCTGTTAGGGATGTGTTTAATACCATTTTTATACTTTTCCGTTCAGTGACACCCAAAGCAGCTAACTAGATGAAAGAAGGGGATGAGCCTTTTTCAAACCAGCTGAATGTAGCTTCCTGCCAATCATTACACCTTTTTATTTCAAACTTGAAGAAAGGGGGGAAATGCAGAAAGGCTGGGACCCCAGGCATGAGGTTCTGTGCCCTTGTTGTAAAACTAGCAACAATATGAACACCAAAGGGGGGGGGGTAACAAAACTAGAAGCAGAGCATCCATAAAAGCTAGCCCAAGAAAGACAGATGAAATGCCACATAAAATTAACCTGACAGATTTATTCAAAATACTTGCCAGAACAAATTTGTCTGCATGTAGGTGGCAAAAGAACATTAAAAAGGGCAGCAGACAAACAACCTGGGGGAGAGCTTGAGCAGCATAAGTCAAATGTGGATCTACAAGACTCCTGTCCCTGCATGGCGTGAGATCCCAGTGTCCCAGAAGTTTGGATGCTATGCTAGCGTTCGAATGCATTAAAGCAGCGAAGAGAATGAGAGATGAATAACTAACGCTTCTTTGCAAGAAACTCCCAGTTCAGTTGAGGAGCGACTTTACAGGTTACAGTAGGAAGGCCTTATCCCTTAACAGGCAAGGCGCAGACGCATGTAGATTTGTCCGTGGGGCATTCCTGCTGCAACCTGGAGCTTTCCCCTTTACCTTTCTAAGGCCACTGCTGAAGCAAGAGATAAGATGATTTCGCTCTGTGCCTGCTTCATGACCCGCCTGCTGCAGCAAGCTGGGTGGGTTGCAGAAATGTAGCCCTGCTTGGCAGGGGCGGACAGAAAGTCTGGGCAGGGATGGTGAGCAGGTGGGATCGCTGCTGCCGGCATCTCCTCCTGACTTCAGCTGCAGTTGTGAGCAGGGTGGGATGGGGTGGGGTAAGCTCCGCTGCCACGGAAGGGGCATGGCTCCCATGAAAGGAAAGGTGGGCCCAGTGTCCTAAAGCCTGCCCTGCCGTCTGCTCCCCAGCTGTTCGCAGTGGGTACCGCATCCAAGCCAACCAGCAGGACGACTCCATGCGGGTGCTGTACTACATGGAGAAAGAGCTGGCCAACTTTGACCCCACTCGCCCGGGCCAGCCGAATGGAAGGCTTGAGAAAGGTACTTTGCGTCTCCATGTTCTGAGGCATCGTGGGTTTCCCGTGGGGAAAGTTGCTTGTGAGGAGAGCATGCCTAGGTGATCCCGCGGGCTCTTTTCTTCAGCACAGTGCCCTCTAGGAGCGGTTGTGACCCTCTCTTGGTTCTGTTCTTCAGCCTCCGTGATGAGTGAACTGAGCTCTCTGCACGAAGAGGATCGGCGCTACGAGCTGCGGCAAGGCTTAGGGCGGCTGCGTGGCCAGGCCATGTCTCCCATCAGCGATGTGGAGGAGGAGAGCCTCCGGGGCAGCGAGAACAGGCGCCTGCTGCCCCCTGCGCGGCGGGAGCGCCACGAGGACTCGCCCCCACGCAGCTACGCCCGACGCCCACGATCCCGCTCCATGGATGCTCTGGATGATTGGGACAGGGACTCCTACCCTGCCCGGCCCAGAAGTCGGGGCCGCCGTGGCTCGGATGAGGAGTGGCACCACCGCGACTATTCCCCAGACTCCCGCAATGACTATGAGCGCTATGGTGGGCGGCGCAGCCGGAGCAGGGATGATCTGCGGGACGTGGAGAGGTCTCACTACGATGACCGGTTCTTGGAGGAAGCCCTGCACAAGAAGCGGCGGGCCGGCAACCGTGAGGATCTGGACCAAGCAAGCGCCTCCAGTGGAAGGTCTGGCAACCGGAAGCATCGAGATGACGACAGCAATGGCTTCCCACCACCGCCACCACCTCCGTACACAGAGACGGAGTCCGTCTCTTCCCATGGCAAGAACGACCGCAAGCTCCGGAAGGTAAGAACAGGCAATATGGGGCAGGGAGGCCGTTGAACATGATCGTACAGCCTTGTAGTTGCATGAAATGGGGTCTTCAAGGGGCTGCTGGAGCTATAACAATTTCGTGAGTTCTCATGACGAGGGAAACGGAGGAGAGATTGCAGCCCTTCCTGCCTCCTTTTCCTTCCTCTGAACAAAGTCATATTGAAAGGGGGAGTTAGTGAGGGAGTTTACGTGAGGTTTGTCCCAAATTGGAGAACCAGCGAGGGCAACTAATGGGGTCAGGTTGGTGGATCACCTTACTTTGTGAAGGTAAGAGTGAACCATGTTGACTTATTAAGGTGTTAATAAAGCGATTTCTGTAGGATGCACAAACTGGGGAGTTGTTGATCTCGTTGGATGGCAGAATAATGCACGGTGGGTGATGAACCATAGTTAGTGGTCATGCCATTCGAGCTAAGACCACTCTTCCCCAGGTGGCCTCTTTTGCCCTCAGCAAGACACCCTGAGAGCCCATGCTCTGCCTTGGGTTGGTTGGTTTCACCCATGGTGGGTTGGCATGTCATCCGAACCTGGACAACTTTCTTCACTGCTGGTTGAGTGAGTGGAAACAAGGAGCAATTCACTTAGCAACAGCCACAACCCTGCCCCCTTGCTGAGGTTGCTTTAGTCGTAGTCAGTGTCAGCCATGCCTCCAATGCTGTGCTCAGGAGCCAGGTTGGCTCCCCACATTTTCACCTTGGAACTGGTTTTTGGGACCTCCATTTTGACCGTCCCTTTAACGTGCGCATGAAGGCTATTGGAAGAGCTGTCAGTGATTCACCACCCTTAAAAAATGGTGCCCCAAATATGTGCAGGTAGTATTAGTTCATTAAAAAATAGCCAGAATTGTGTGATTCTTAAGGTCAGTTATCCTTTGCCATTTTCTTTATCTTTACAGCTGTTGAAAGGCAATGGCAAAGATGCAAGTGTTCTTTGCTCACACAATGGTGGAGGGATTTATTCCCCCTTGGTGCTGAGGTCCCCTATACTCCAAATGGCTGCTGGCTGGTAGTTTGAAGGGAATGGAGGGGACTGACGACTCACAGTTAGCTTGATTGTCCGTCAGATGCACTGTCATTTGTTCTTGCAACAACCAACCCAATCATGGCTTATTGCCAGGTTGATGGGATGTGCAGACCTGCTCATCGGAGCAAAGTATTCCTGGTAGCAGCTGCAGGATACTCAAATTCCTTCCCCTTTATGACCCACCAGTTTCTCTCTCTAAATTAAGGGATACTGGAAGCTGTGTAATGGTGCTTCAGGTTTCTACGCAGATCTGCATCTTAGTGAGATGACTCTGTGCACCTTCAGTTCATGCCATTTGCACTCTACCTTCTGGTGTTAGCTGGCTTGCATTGTTCCAAAGCCGAGGAGAGAAATAATGTCTCACATTTCTGTTTCCCCTACAGAATCATGCTGTCAGTAGAGAAAGTTTGGTGGTTTAACGGTTTCCATTTCTACACCTCTTCCTTGGGCGGATGAGAGGAGGACCTGAGCCTGGGATGGTTCCAGCTCGGTTTGTTGGTGTCCATTTTATTCAGCAGGGCTCTGAAGGCGGAGCTCTCATGTATCCAGCTGTCGACGGGACAGGACAACGGAATAACACTTGGGGAACTGTGCCTCTGTGCCTTCTTTTAACCTCATTGGCTGTAGGTTGAGATTCCTGGGTTTGGGTACCAAGTTTGCACTGCAGGAGAACACTTACCATCCTTTTTGGTACCCTTTTCAAACTTCAAGTCTAGATTTCTATTTTTAAATGTAGTTTCATAAGCAGAGACTCAAAATTTGTTCCTCTATGACTGGAAAGAAATGGCCTTATTCAACTAAATGCCAGATGGGAATTCACCTGTTTTTTATTATTTTATAATGTTTAAGATTATTCCAAAGAGAACCACTTGGCTGTATTTTCCATTTAATTTTAAAGCAATTGAAACACATTTGTTACTTATGTCATGCGGCCTTTTGTATGTATGATTTTTTTTCTGGGGGAGGAAGGGTGTTTGTTTTTAGCTGCTGGTGCTATAACTACTCTGAAATAATGAGCAGACAGATTTTCTAATTTGTATACATTTTTTTAGATTACAATTGCATAGAAATTAAAATAAAATGCGTAGAATGGAAATCTTTGCTAAAGTGTAATACTAGAAGGCAGTGGACAGAAGATGTCCTCACTTAGTAACTTTGCTGTATGGAGGTGCATGCCACTCGTCCCTTCATTTCACAACCCCTGCCACATGTCCACTCCCACGATCGCTGTCTCCCAAGGCCACGGCTTTCTTGGTTTCCCAACATCCCCACTGCTCCCCGCCCCCCTTTGATACCTCCTTGAGGTACCATTGAGTCCCTAGCTGATGGATCTCCTGTCATTTTCTGATAGGCAGGCGTCAACTGATAAAGGACAGAAGACTTAATGTTGATTTCAGATGTTTGAAGCATATTTTACAGGGTTACTTTTTAGAAGAGCCTTTTTAACAGAATTTTATCAGGTGAAGGTACAGCTATAAACATTGTATACATGTTGAAGTTTCTGCAGAAATAGTTAAGTCTGAATAGATAGCAGAACTGAAAGGTTTGTCACTGTGATATGGAATAGGTTTATGTCCCAGTATTATAACTTCATTCGAATTTGCAGGGCTGAAAACTGGTGATTACTAACTCTTGTCCCAAACTACGGTGCATAATTTCATTCCAGTTGGTTGTCTTTTTCTTGGCCTCCCATGTTAGAGGCATATCCTGTATCCTGCACTGCACCAGTTTTTAAAAAGGTAAGAAAAAGAGCTATACTGGATTCTACCATAGGTCCATCTCTTCAGAAGTTTGTTCATACAATGGCTAAGTAGCTGCTTGTGGGAAGCCAGAGGCTCCCTTCCCCTTGTATTCTGGTGCATATAAGCATGTTGCCTCTTCAAACCACATAGAAATGTTTATTACATTAAGTGGTATATAAGTATTGCTAAATAAATCCTGGAGGTAGCCAATGGCCATCTCAACTCATAGCCATCGATAGCCTTCCATGAATTTCTCATCTCCTTTTAAAGCCATCCAGATTGATGGCCATCATGAGATCTTGTTGTAGCAAATTCTGTAGTTTAACTATGTGCTTTGTGAAGAAATGTTTCCATTTTCTATCCTGAATCTTGAGGCAGCAAGTCTCCATCCTGCAAAGCAATTTTAAGTATATTTTCAAAACTTTTGCCAGAAGTTGCTCATGACGTACTAAAAGTGTCCGTTTGCAATTGATTTCCTTGCTGTGTTTCCCACTGAAGAACTCTGAACTGCAGTGTTGTAAATGGCTGAGGTGTTATTTCTTCTTTTTTTCATTTGAAGATCTTCTTCCAGCTCATAAGCAGCCCTTTTGGTAGGGGAGCATGATATTTAAACTCATTTGGGGCTGGAGTACATGTTGGAATGGATACTTTGCAAGATGGACAAAAAAATCTTGAGGGCGGTCTTTTGGTCATTGTCCCGTGGACCATGGGGCAGCTTGGACTCTCCCTGCAGAGCCTGGAGACCTTGGAAGGGGAACGAGAGCTGATCCCCCTCTTTGCTCTTGGAGAGAGCCAAGCCGGCTGCTTCTCAGAGGCAGGAATAGCCTTAAAGAGGGGCGAAAGGGGGATTTCTGGTAGGTGGGGCTGGGGAGGGAGACGACCGGAAATGACACATGATTTATCCTGACCTTCCTGCCCTCCCCTTCAGAGCTCCCTTCCTAGAAGGGCAAAATCAAAATCACCTCCCCCACTCCTTGTTCCTTGCTGGCTTCAGCCCTGCAGGGCTTGGGGATCTCAGAAGCCTGCAGCTTCAGAGGCTTCCTATGCAATTGAAAGTGGGATGGGATTCCACTGGATCTGATGCACATTCATTGGATTGCACTGTGGGCATGACGAGCATGCATGTAGCAATCCCCACCTCTCTGTAAGTGTTTCTGTATGTGCATATATGAGAAAATGAAAGGTATCCATGGAAGAAACCTTGACTGTGTAGGAAAAAGGATGGGGAAGGGAGCGGTTACTTCAGATTTTCTCGTGCCCTTTCATCTACTCAATACCTTCCACCCTTCAGCTGCTTTTCCAGTATGGGGAAAAGATGTATGTTGCCAGCAGCTGAAAAGCCACTGCTCAAGGAGGAAAAGCTGGGCCCTCTCTATGCCCTTCCTTCTGGCCAGAGCCTTCTACAACTGCTTTTGATAAAAAACCCAACCTTAGCAGGGGCTAGCTTGCTTGTACACATGCTTGCCATGTGGTTTGGCCATGGTGTGGTTGTTACACGTGGGAAATAAATGGACTACAGTGATGGCGAAACTGCCCAGGAGGGGGCAAATCACGCACAGCACCTGGGTTTATTTGGGTGATGGTCATGCAGTGGGTCCTTGCTGGGATGGTGGTGGTTGTTGTTGCTAGTCGCGAAGTCGTGTCCGACCCATCGCGACCCCGTGGACAACACTCCTCCAGGCCTTCCTGTCCTCCACCATCCCCCGGAGTCCACTCAAGCTCACACCAACTGCTTCCATGGCTCCATCCAGCCACCTCATCCTCTACCATGGGATGGTGGTATGAAAGGCTAAAGTGTACTTTACACACTGGCCACAAGGGGGACTGTTTGGGTTTTGTACTTTCACAGATTATGCTTCCTGAGCAGGGCCTGCCAGGGCATGTGAGAAATGCTTCTGTGGCTACAGGCAATGAAGGGCACAGGCCACGGAGAAGATGCTTTGACCGAGAAGTAAGAATGTAAAATGCTAGTATGTGCATCGTCAGCAGCCTAATCCACAGATACGTACAGCCCTCAGATACATGGTGCATATGTCTGTGAATACACACATGGCTTATAACGTGCTCTTTGGGGGCACAGGTAGAATTTAACACAACTCAAGTTTTGGGAGTGGTTGCAGGGCCAGTGTGAACTGGGGCTGAATTTTTGCTGTGTGTAATATTTGGCAGGCGGTCATGTGTATTTCAATCTGTTTGTCTTTATGACAGTGAAGATCGCTGATGCTATATATATGTATATACATCAGTCATGCTTGATAGACTCTGCACATAGTTACGGGGAAGATTCAGGGGGCTTTGGTTTGCACCCATCATGAGATGCTGCTGCGTGAGACCGCGATGCTCCGTGTCAGCCTTCCCCATCGTGGCTCCCTTCAGCTTGAGCTGGAGAACATCCCCCTCTGCTGCCAGCTAGGATGATGGGGGGGGGGGCTGATTCAGCACACCAAGGAGGCAGCGGGGGAGGGGAAGCTGGTCATGCACACTTAACCTGCCTGTAAATCTAACTGGATTCCACTGGGCTTCCTTTGAATAGCTGCACTCACGGCATTGTACTAGGATGCACGCATTGTATGGTCGGTCTTCACTTTCACCTTTGAAAGCTGGGCAAATAACGGGTTTTCACAAGTATGCGATTTCAGTTCAGCAATGAAGCAGTCGGTTTAGGCTGCAAGATCAAGATTCAGCCCTGTGGCGAGACTCGCATATAAAACAGGTTAAATGGAAGTTTTGCTTGTGCATCTCAGTGGGGACTTGGCCAAGCGGAGGATACAAATGTAGTCAGACAAACTACAGGGAACAAAAGGCTGGAGTAGGACCTGTGCTGACGCCTGTTCTCTAAAAACCCCACAGCTTTGGCTTGGGTTGGCCTTTGGTGAGGGCACCAAGGCCTGTACGTTGCCGCTGATCCTTGCTAGAGAATGAGCAGCCAGGCTCATCCTTAGAATCGGGTTTTGTCTTGGCATGCTGCTTCCGAGGGTGCAGCTCTCTTCCAGTCTTTCAGATTTGACAAGCCTGCAGGGCACATGTTCTGCCCTATTTCCACTGTGTTAAAGCTAAGCTGACATGGTGCTGGAAAGTTCAAGCCTTTGTACTTTAATACCTTGCGCAGATGTGGGTTTTGGGAAGGTGCAGCTGCTGGCATCGCAATGGCACTTCAAGTGGGAAAGTAAGTTATTTGGCTTTGTTTCAGAGAACTTACTGCAAACATTGGTTTTGTAAACGTGTTGATGGAATGAAAAGATGAGTGTTGATCGTTAGCCACTGAAAGTAATATTGAGTTTCCTCTAAGCAGTGGCGGAGTTAAAATTCTTGGTGGTTGCCCTTATCAATGGCCAGGGAGGAATGTAGGAGCTGTGTCACTCCCCACCCTCCGCTGCACCCGCCAATCAGGCCAATGCCCATGTGCCACTGATGGACAAGCTGAACTGCATTGGCTATACTTGTTCAAGTTGCTGTAGGCACTAGTGAAAATAAAATAACTAGAGAAGTGCACGACCCTGCTACTCTGAATCCCAGTGCTGCCTTTCTATTTTAGTTTGACTTTTGGAACAAATCATGTGTCCCAAGCACACTCCCCACAGCCCTCCTCTGAGTCTTATGTGCCATGCTGAATTATTTAAAATGCATTTTTTAAAATGCTGAGTCACTAAAATCCAGGTCAGTGAGGAGATGGGCTGCGGCGAGGCCTTGAAGATACCAGTGCAAGCTTGTCTGCTGGAGACTTTCTAAAGAATCAGCTGTGGAGACATTGCATAACATCTAATCTCCGTCTAGATCTGCTTGAATGATGTTCCTTCTTTCCAGCTGTCTAGGCAGGCAGCTGGGGACCTGCCGCATGGGTGTTATTGGAAATCGTCATATGGATGTCTGTTTTTGTCCCCTGCAGCTTCAGGTCATGTGCCAATTCTGCTCTCTGTCCAGTGCCTTTTCCTTCCTGTCTTTTCCTCTTGCTCTCGATCGTTCCTCTGTATTACTCTCTCTTGTAGCCTCATAGCTTCCCTTGTCTGCTGCATTTCAGGTGCTGGCCTGCTTCTGTCCCAGGCTCCTGTTTCTTCTAGTTCTCCTTCCCTAGACCCTTGCAGCCATCTTGTTTTTTGTAAGCTCCAACCAGCTTAGTCAACATTCACCAAAGAAACATCTGCTCTTCTGAGACATCAGGGCAGCTTATCTAATTACTGCCAAGAGCTTTATCACAGCTTCTCCCATGAAGGCTCTCAGCATGTAGCAATATATTTATTAAGAATGAAGGCCAACTACAAGAGTGGAATGCAGGGCCAGCCCTACCGTTAGGCAGCGCTTTCTGGGAGCTGGCAGGAACATGCCAAACCAGAGGGCCCTGCACCAGCTGGCTTGCCTTCCACTGCCTAAGCTGGCCTTCTACTTTCAGGTGCATTCAAGGACACCATCCTGTGCCAGTGCTGAAGAAACAATCTGACTGTCATCCAGTCTGCTTTTTCACATGGAAGTGGGGAGGCTGTGGGCACAATCTTTTGCCCTAGGCAGCAAAATATT